CCACCAAGCCCTTCACAACTGTGGGCTAATTCTCAACTAAGAGTCTTGAGCCCGGCAGCCTTGTCCATCACTCCCAGCTGACGGGTTAGGGGAGCCCTCATTGCTCCTCTCCGGTGCTGTGATGGGCCTTACCATCCACTCTTCCCTCTGTCCTTGGAAGGCATGTCTCAAAGCCACCCTGTCCTGTGGCAGCCACACTTGCCACTTCTCCAGCCAGAGGGACATCCATCCAGATACAAACTCACCTTGAGGTTGTCTAGTGGCCTGGGGCGGCAGCCTGCTGTAATAAAGGCTGATGGGTGTCTGTCAGGGAGGGCTTTGGAAGCAGTGCCCTGGGGTGTCAGGGAGGGCTTTGGAAGCAGTGCCCTGGGGTGTCAGGGAGGGCTTTGGAAGCAGTGCCCTGGGATCTGCTTCCAATTCTGCTCCCTTCTTCTCCCCCAGCTGGCTCAGGCTCCACTGTGTCATCTGCAGGGCAAGAAGCTTACAAGGCCACGCTTCTGTTTGCGGGGGCTGACAGTCACGGCCACCGGCAACAGAGCCCTCCCACACAGCCCATGGGACGCTCAGGGCTGCAGGCTCCTTAGACAGACAGGGAGCTCACTCACGGCCCAGTGGGTTCAGCATCCGCGGAGGAGGCGAGAAGCAGGGGCTAGCCGGTGTCAGTGTCGGATTCTGCCTGTGCCTGCCTGGTTTGTCCCTGGGATCAGTCACTTCCAGCCTCCCTTTCCTCACCTGGGAAGGAGGCACGAAAACCATCACCTCAGTAGAATGCTTAGAGAGTTCAAACCAAGCAAGTCCCCCAGTGAAGAGGGGCACATGAGACCTCTCAGGAAATGTCTTTATTTATTTATTTATTTTGGTTTTACGAGACAGGGTTTCTCTGTATTGTTTTGGAGGCTGTCAGTCCAGCCCGGCCTCGAACTCACAGAGATCTGCCTGCCTCTGCCTCCCGAGTGCTGGGATTAAAGGCGTGCGCCACCACCGCCCGGCACAGGAAAAGTCTTGATGGTCAGAGTGACAAAAGCAGCTGTGGGCTTAGAGGTAGAGAATGGACAACCCTGCAGATGACGCCTGCCTCTCTGAAGACCCCTTCATTGCAGCTCTGGGCGCAGACAGATGGCGCCGGCCTGAGGGACAGGGATCCATGACTGCTGTTACTAGGGACTGAGCTTAAACAGGCCTGCAAGAGGAACACATGCTGTGTCCCCAGACAAAACAAACCCAGACCCTGCAGATCCTGCACCCGCAGGCTCCCTTACCCCTCCCGGTTGCACAGTCTTCTTAGCCAGCCTCCCTCCCCTCAACCAGTTCTGTAATCCTTGAAGGAGTCCTAGAACCCTTCTCTGTGTGCCAAGAGGGTGACAGGAGTCCCTGAGACAATCTGAGGCCTAGCGGGATCAGCATTGAGCCACACTGCCCCCACTGAGGAGACAAAGAAAGAGGAAGAGGAGCAGTGGGGAGTCGGTAATCTAGCTTTCCCCTCCCTACAGGCTGGGAAGACATAGCCCTGCATCCCAGAACCTCCCTGAACCCACCCCCCAGGCTACCATAGAAAGCAAAGGAAGCCCCCCTAGGCCTTCCCACAGCTCCCAGAGCTCTCACAGAGCAGAGCAAGAGTAACCAGTGCCCAGGGGTGGGGTGGTGAGAGTCAGTGCAGCCCCAGCTCTGCACCTAGACTACCTCCCCCACCTCTCAGAAGTTACTCCCCCACCCCACCCCTGCAAGGCCTAAGGCCACTTCTGTCTGTACTCAAAGCCCAGTGACTACTGCCAAGGTGTGTGCACTCGGGGCTCCACCTAGAGGCAGCTGTCAAAAGGTTCCCCCACCCCAGGCCCTTCCCACCACAGGGGGCAAGGCTCATACTGGGGCAAACACAGCCAGTGAGATGCACGTCCCAGGCGCCTAAGGAAAGGCCAGGGTCCCTCTGGGGAGTCAGTCTAGAGGCCCTGACGCCCCCTTATCCCCCTGAACAATAGAACTGTTTTCTTTTCCTTCGATAAAAGTGTCTGCGTTAACAGTTCCCAAGCTCTGCCGTGGGGAGGGGGTGGCTGCTGGGCAAGTGACAGCTGGAGATGAAAGCCAGATCCTGTCAACCTGGCAGGACATCCCCTTCCCCATCCTCCAGCTTGGCCACTCAGGCCCTGGTGATCACAATGCCCACATCCCTCTTAACCCCAGGATCGTGGGATTCAACTCTGGTTGGATGCCGGGGGAATTAATGTGCCAATCCCCTTATCTATCTGGAGAGCAGGATCTGCATCTCAGAGATGTGTCCTTGCTCCTTACCTGGCTGGGCTGGTCAGGTTCACCTGCTAGGCCTGGGAAGCCGGAGGGGGTGGGCTAAGGGTCACCATGGCTACACAAGGCAGGATCTCCCACCCGCCTACCTGCCCTACTATTTGGCACTCTGGGGCCCGGACCCCGTTCATCCACCCACCTGGCCAGTATTCATCAGCCTCTACCTGGAGACTATTGAGGGCCCGCCTTGTGCTCACTCTAGGGCAGAGGCTGATAACTGGTCCAACCGAGCTCTCCCTGAAGTCGCAGTGAGAGGCAAGTATCATCACAGAAAGGAAAACAGCAGGCCGGTGCTGTGAAATCATGTCACAGGAAAGCTGAGCCCCTGCTCCCTGTCCACGCTCCATCCCGCCTTCCTCCAAGTCAACCTTGGGACTCGGTGAGATGTACTGAGTGAGCAAGCCACAGGGAGTGCGGTGGACCTTGAGGGGTGTGTAGGAGTTTGACTAGCAAGGGCTCTCCCAGTCAGGGAGTGGCAATGAGAAAGTCCTGGGGGTGAGAAACAAGTGCAGTCCTGGTGGTTCGGGGGTTGGTTCCCTCCTGGAGCTGGCAAGCAGGACCATCGGAGGTAACCTGTGGGACAGAGCTAAGAGGACCTAGGGTTTATGGTTTGAGACTCCTCCCTCTCTGGCTCAAGCAGAAGGGCCCTGTAAAAGGGTCAGATACCGCCGTAGACAATGTCCCATCACTGCAAGGCCACCTGATCTGGGCAAAGGACACCCCGCAGCCACTCCTGCCTCTGTTCTCTGTGAGCAGATGTGCCTGCTTCCCTAGTCATACAGTACCAGGTGGTCCAAGACCTGAGCACCCACTGGACTGCCCTCTGTGAGGCCAAGCCTCCAAGGAGCCTGTGAAGGGGTCTTTCTCCCCTTCCTGCTGTCTACAGAGGCCAGGACTCCCTCCTTAAGTATGTCTGAGATTCCTCGTGTGTCTGCATCAGCTCGTTGAATTACTAGTTGTGTGGCTTTGGGTAAGTTACCCAACTATTCTGTGCTTCGGTCTGGGGGATAACTTCATCTGCCTCCTGAAGACTGAGATGACAACTGAATAAAATTATCCCATGACAAAACCCAGCCTGGGTCATGTGGTTACTTCCACCTCTGGGACATTACTGAGTTGATCCCCGCAGGACCCTAGGTCTGCTACTGATTCTGGGGAGGAGAGGACTCCACCCCCAGCAAGTGGGGAGTCTCTCGGCTTTTCATCCCCCGGGCTTGGTGGAGTGCAGGAGGGGAAATCTTCCCATTTTGTGTAGATATTCTCCAGGGAAGGTGCAGTGTTGCTGTGCTCCTCACTGGCCAAGGCTAACAGCACCCAGCGTGCTTCCAAAATGGGCACCTGGCTGTCCTTCCTCCCCCCATGCACTCTGTGAAGCCTGAAGGGTTCTGGTGAGCGGGGACGTCAAACCTGGTGACCCCAAGTATTGTGCCTGCCACAGGGAGGAGAACCATGAAGTCTGTGCTGGAAGCGCCAGCCCAGAACCCTGACCCAGTCTCCACCTCGAAGAGGGGGGAAGAGAGACCAGGAGAACCAGTGGGAGGTAACTTGAAGCCGGAAACCCCGAGGAACTCTCCTTCCCGGAACCGACTATACCACACCAGCTTCTACTCAGCACCTCGGGGACTCAGACTCTAGAGCCTGGATCAGGGCAGTCTGCACCATCTCCAGACCCAGGGCACCCCCCTCACATCAGCTCTTAGCTCCTACCTAGAACCCCCGCATGTTGAAGGAGAGCAGTGTGTGGGCACCAGAGGGCCGGCATTGCTCAACTCCTTTCTGACTAGACTAATCCCAGCTGAGCAGCCAGAGCGTGGTGAACACGGTCCCAAGGTTAGACAAAGCACTTCCCTTATCTTGGGAACACCTGCCTCACCCATGTATCTGTCTGCAGCACCCCCCAGTGAACAAGTGAGAAACATTAGCGGCCATCTTTGCGCCCTCCGGGGTTGCTGCTGCACCTTCTAAGTGCTCTCCATCTGGGACACTGGGTCAGCCAGGGGACAGAAGTCACCACAAAACTGAACTAGATGCTCGGAGCACCAGGAACGTGAGGGCCTGAGGTTTCCAGCACCTGAAAGAGACTCTCTTGCCAAGCGGCCTTAGGAACCACATCACTCCCTTTAAGAGTTTGCTTGGCCCTAGAGTCCCTCCCCAGTGGTCCTGCTTGTCCACAAACTAAGTCTACTGTGAAGTTTCTGGTGGGCTTGGAGTAACTGCTTCGGGTAATTGTTGGTGAACAAAACACCCAGTAAGAGAATAGAGGCCTGAGCCCTGCGGTCCCCATGGAAGCTCGATCCCCATGTAGATTCGGGGAGGACACAGGCGTTAAGTGCCGGCCAGCATGTTTCCAGCATCATGGGGCCTCTAGGTTCAGTGGGGCCTGGGCCATCGACTCAACCACAGGACTTGGAACCGGCCTCTAAACCAACCTTGAAATAGATGAAGAGCGAGGGCTGGGACCTGTGATCGTAGCAACAAAGTTCGAGAGAGTTCCGAGCTGCTGCTGTCCCAGGACCCTGAGCGCGCTCGCACCCGCCGCGAGCTGAGGGGTCGCTTTGTGGTCCCCGGACAAGCGGAGCCAGTTCGGGTCACGTGGCACTGCGGCCGGAGCCCTGGCGCTGACCCTAAGGGGAGGGAGGGACCGACTCCGAGAGGGAAGGGGCGGCCCGGCAGGGGCGGGGCGGACAGAGCTCTCGGGATTCCCTGCAGAGCGGCTCCAGCTGGAGACCCAGTCTACAAACCCACCGGTCACGGGATCTCGATCAGAGTCGCGCTTTCCTGCCCGGCCGGTGAGGGATTTGGCGGGTGATCTCTCCGCGCGAGGCAAGGACCTGGCTCCTGAGACTCTGCGCCTCTTCTAACCCCGTCGTTCCACCCGGAGGAACCCGGGATCTGCCCCGGTGAACGAACTCGGAAAATCGGAGTTTGCAAGCCGAGCAGCAGCACCTGTCCAGGGCGAGCGTGAGAGCTGATGTAGGGGACACAGTGACTCTTGCCCTCGACGCCTGTCTTTCTTCTCTGCAGGTCAAGCTCGTGCCCAACCGGGGGGAAATGTATCAGAGCTTGGCGCTGGCCCAGAGCCCCGGCCAGGCCACCTACGCTGACTCGGGAGCCTTTTTGCACGCTTCAGGAGCCGGCTCCCCGGTGTTCGTGGCACCCACGCGTGTGCCTTCCATGCTGCCCTACCTGCCTGCGTGTGAGCCGGGCTCGCAGCCTCCCGCGCTTGCCGCACACTCTAGCTGGACTCAGGCAGCTGCCGCTGACTCCTCAGCCTTCGGCTCCGGAAGCCCGCACCCGCCAGCCGCACACCCACCGGGGGCTTCCTCCTTCGCATTCGCACACAGCCCCCCGGGGTCCGGCAGCGGCGGCAGCACGGGGGCCCGGGACAGCGGCTCCTTCCAGGGCGCGCTGCTGGCTCGCGAACAGTACCCGACCCCGCTCGGGAGACCCATGAGCGCATCGTACCCCACAACCTACCCGGCGTACGTGAGTCCCGACGTAGCCCCTTCGTGGACCTCCGGACCCTTCGATGGCAGTAGCATCCTGCACGGTCTCCAGGGCCGCCCTAGTGGCCTCCCTGGCCGACGGGCCACCTTCGGTGAGTACCGGGCTGGGGCTGCCCGGTGGACATGATTCTAATGTTAATGCGTGCAGCGATAAACCCGCTCGCTACGAAATGCAATGCATGCGAAAAGCCGAAATGCGCTCTCCTGCTGTCAAGGCTCACCCGCCTGGCCCGACCCCACAGATTCCCTCCCAAAATTGCCAGGATACAGGAACTTTTTCGGAACACAGTGCGATGAAAAACATTCGATCCAGAATTCTTTTTCTTTCCTTTCAGCATAATAGCAGGAAAATAATACATTTCTGTTTTTTCACGCGACCAAACCACAAAATAGCATTCTGAATTATGTCAATTTGGAACCTACATCCTAAACTTTCCATGGAAAGTTTTGGAAATTATTTTTGGTTTTAAGACAGGGTCTTATTAGGTAGACCAACTCAGCTTCAAACTTAACAGCGGTTCTCCTGCTTCAGCCTTCCTAAGTGCTGAGCTTACAAGCCTTCGCCATTAGGCCAGGCTAAAAACGAGTTTTATAAAGCTCAAAATACTGATTGTTTGAACGAGTCACCACAGCCGTCTCTCGTTCTACAGCACTGGCATTCCATCCTGAGATTCCCATACCTCCCGGGAACGTAAATTAGATGAGATTAGATCCCAAGGTTGTTGAGCCGAGAAGTGCTCCTCCAGGTTTCTGAGTACTTTTGAGGCACAGTCAGAACAAAGAGAGTCAGCTTCTGTTTGCATCCTCAGGGACTCCTCTAGGCCATCCCTCCAGGAACTCAGAAGCCTGACCCCTGATTCATAGCCCCCTCTTGGCCCAAGCCAATCTAGTGCACTTAGGTAGACAAAGGCAGCCCCTGTGCCCGGTACCCACCTCCAGCCAGCAGATGATTGATCCCACCCTGTCCCCCAGCCAATATCCCATGGTTTGTACATCTGCGGTTCCTGGCTAGACCTGGAGCTGGACCAGGATTCCCTGGTGCCCCTGTGGTCCTACCTCCCTAGCAAAGCTGACAGTCAAGCCAACCTGTAGAATCCCAGGTCTCTGTCTCCCAGTCCGCTCCCCCTTGGGGCCCACTCTCACGAACACAGGTTATCTGAAGGTGGGAAATAAGGCTCTGCCATCCACTTCCCTCTGCCTATGTAGAAACACCTCTTTCCAAGGCTTATTAAAAATACAAAGGCCGACGTGGACCCTGGTCAAGAAAGGGATCATCGCTTTAAAGTTTGGTTTATTTATATCCCTGCCTTATAAAAGCAGCCCTAATACACTTCTCTAAAAAACTAAGTAAGACTAAGTATATAAATAAATCGCCCTTCTAATGAATACGTATAAGACACTACGCAAAGAGGGCAGAAGCCCTCAGGCTCTCTGGAGGAGCAGAGGCCCCAGTCCCACAAGCTTCTTGTCCCTACAGTACCTGACTTCTTGGAGGAGTTCCCTGGTGAGGGCCGGGAATGTGTCAACTGTGGAGCCCTGTCTACACCACTGTGGCGCCGTGATGGCACTGGGCACTACCTATGCAACGCCTGTGGCCTCTATCACAAGATGAACGGGGTCAACCGACCACTGGTGAGGCCTCAGAAGCGTCTGGTGAGTGTAGCAGGGAGGAGAGGACCAGGGCTAGAGCTACAGGGGGGATGAAGGGAATGGTTGGCTTCGGCACTCTCAGCGGCGTCTGGGTTCCTGAGGATGGAGGAAAGACTGAAACACAAGGCTCCGTGAGCTGCCTGGGGCTCCCGGTTGAGCCAGGCCAACTCATCTCTTCCTGGAGTTTGAAAATATTCAGGGAGCCATCAGGATCCCAGCCAGGACTCCCGATGGGGACCTGGCTGAGGTCTTAAAACCCACAGTAGCTGGCAGGTTACTCGGCACTTGACAGAAAAAAAGATGTGTTTCAAACCCACTTGCTACACAGAAAAAAAGATGTGTTTCAAACCCACTTGCTACATGGCCACAGGGTGTTCTGGGATCCGGTCTGAGAGTGAGCTCTGCCGTAGGTACATCATAAGCCACAGTCTCTGCGGGACCCCGATGGCTCTGTGCTGCTGTGGGATTGAGTTGGTATTGGTGAGTGGCAACCTGGTCGTATTAGAGGCCTCAAGGTGACTGGCTCAGATGGGGTTGAGGGAAGGGACGCTGGTCCACCGACAGTGGCATCAAGAACCTGAATGAGAGAGTCATTGGGTATGTGTCCTTGGGAAGCACTTGCCTGTGCTTTGGGGGTCCCTAGGAAACCAGGCCTCTGCCTTTTGCCTATCCCACTGGCTAAATCTTTTTTTCTTTTATTATTTGTAGAAACACTCTTATTTATATATCCATCCCCCCCATTCCCTCGCCCTCCCATCCTCCCATGCTTCCCACCAACCCACTCACCACCCCACTCCCCAGAGATAGTGAGACCCTCCATGGGGAAATCATCAAAGTCCATCACATCATTTGGGGGAGGGCCCAGGCCCTCCTTTCCGTATCTGGACCGCAATAGTATCCCTCCATAGGGAAAGGGCTCCCAAAGTCCATTTGTGACCTAGGGATAAATCCTGGCACCACTGTTAGAGGTTCCATAGACTGCCTTGGCCTCCTAGCCTGCACCCACATTCAGAGGGCTTGGTTTGGTCCAGTGCTGGTTCCCCCGCTTTATGACTAGGGTCTGCGTGCTCTCATTAGGTCAGGTCAACTGTTTCTGCGGGTATCTCCAATTCCGTCTTGGTTCATTTGGCCATCTCTCCTCCCTTTCTGCAACTGGATTCTGAGAGTATGGCTCAGTGCTCAGCTGCGGGTGCCTGCTTCTGCTTCGATCAGTTACTGGCTGAATCTTGTTTTTACTTTTGGTTCTTCCGGTACATGGCCGAGTAGGTGTTGGTTAGAAGTAGGGCTCGGGCTTAGGCCGCCAGGAGTTGCCGAGGCAGGAAGCTGCTTTGCCGTCTCACAGGCAAGCCTTCAGGTTCAAGTTTAAATGCGCGTCTGGGTTGGGGTTGGCAGACTGACTAACGTTCTTGCTATGGCGGCTACAGTGGGCTCACGGGGCTCGAGGGTCTCAGGCCTGGGCAGGGCTGCTCCCGAGTCTCGAGTCTCGGGGCCCTCCTGTTTAAAGGTGTGAACCCCAGACGAATGTCAGCATCTGCATCCACAGGAGGTGTTTCTCACCCTCCAGGTTTCCAGAAGGGGCCCATGCCCATAGCAGGCAGGGTCTGGGGACTGGCTGCCCTAGTCCTGCCTGATATATGTGTTGCACATGGTTTCCTGAGTGCACTCACTTGGAGCGATAGCTCTGTGCATTCTTATGTTATGGGTCCTAAGATGAGGGCAACATTGTGAGCTCCCGCAGGCGGGTAGGATACAGGAAGGGGCTTCTCTTCCTCTGAGGTGGCCTGGGGTTTGGGGATCCGCAGGCACATTTTGCCTCTTACCGTCTGAGAGGCCACTGTACCCTCTGGCCCTTTCCTTCAGTGATCTGCCTGATAATGGAAACCCTCTGCACGTGAGCTGCCCAACCCAGTCTCCAGGACGTTCACTAATGCAGAAACCATAGATAACTAGATAGACACAGAGCCCAGGAATGGAGGGCTGCATCCTAGACCCGGGGTACTCCCCAGGCAGCAGACCTGTCCTGTCCCTTGGCTCTGCCCACTCTCCTCCATGCCAGGCTCTGAACTGGGCACCCAGGCACAGCGATAAACAAAGAAGAATCAGGCAAGAGCCCCTGGTCTGCTCTGGGGCCGAGGGGTGGGCTCCCCACACCCTAAACTTACTTCTCTCGGTTTTCCCTCACCAGACAAGGGACAAATCTTTGACCTTAGTCTGCTGTGTCTCCTCCGAGAGAGGGTCCACTTGGGACCGGAGGCGTTTCCAGCCTCGGCCTATCCCCAAGGCTCCAATTAGCTCTCCACCCAGCCAGTCTTGGGTAACTGGGCTCTGGGCTCCCAGGAAGCCACTCTGCAAACTCTTTGTATGGCAGTTTTCATTTTCCAAAAGTCTTTGCCGAATTATATGGCTCGCCCTCCAAGCAGGGCTCCAGCCACCTCCCCTGAGTATCCACCTTGGCAGTTTGGAGGCCCCGGTGTGTGGAGGCCGGCACTTGGTGCCACTCTCCCTTCAGGTGAGCAGCCATTGGAGATGAACTTCTCTCGAAAAGAACAAGCAAAGCTGGGCGTTGGTGGTGCACACCTTTAATCCCAGCACTCGGGAGGCAGAGGCAGGCGGATCTCTGTGAGTTCGAGGCCAGCCTGGTCTACAGAGCGAGTTCCAGGACAGCCTCCAAAGCCACAGAGAAACCCTGTCTCGAAAAACCAAAAAAAAAAAAAAAAAAAAAAGAACAGGCGGAAAAGAAATGAAGTGCAGCCAGGAGAGGCTAGCTGTTGGGAACCCGAAAGTGACCAGGCTGTTGCCTCTACAGACAAGGAAGGACAGATGGAGGCTGGGGGGTGGGGGGGGGCCTCACTGGGGTGTGGCAAATGGGCGTGTGTCCAAGGGCTCAATGGAAAGCAAAGTCTCTGTCCACCTGGCTCCTGGATTTCCTGTGGTCCCTTGACATGTCTGAGCTCCCGTTTCCCTTCTGTATGACGACGAGTGGCAGTTCGTGACGGTTCAGGAAACGGCAATGACTTCTCAGGTCATTATGTTTTCCTGTGTGCCTAGTTTGTAAAAGTAAAACATAATCTCAATGAAAGGATTCCGACGTGGTTTCCAGACTTTTCTCTCGCATTTCTGGGGGGGGGGGATGGGTCTGTGTACCTCTCTTCCTGTGTGCGGTCTGCCATGAGACACTGGCTTTTGCTTTTTCCCCACCATGTCTCAGAAGGTCCCATAGCTCCTAGCTGGTTCACGGGAGAAGAGAGGCCACGGGCCAGGGTTCCCCTAGGTCTGGAGATTCAGCAGTAACTGGGAACTGCAAAGTGCCAGGCACCTGGTTAAATGTGACTTCCGTGTAAATACAAATATCTTACTAATCGTATTCCAAGTACTGCGGGGGGGGATACATGTGTGCAAAACCCTTGCTGTCCCTTTTGACTGGTGTTCTGGAATTGTCGCTGACTCTGAAGCTCTGAAGGGGACAGTTGGGGGGGAGGTCAGAGTTACTGTTCAAGGGCAGGACTAAGGTGGTGACAGACAGTACAGTCTGGTGCCGGTGCCTGGAATAGACAGTGTTACAGCAAGAGCTTAGGGTTCGGGTGCCTAGGGGCCCTTCAAATGGAGCTTTCACTAGGAGGGAATGGATTCCATCACACACTGAACTGTGTGAGCCATGTACCAGGAAAGTCACTGGTGTCAGGCAGCTCAGAGACATTGGGCTTGGTGAAGTCTGACTGGGCTCTCTGTGATGACTCCCCAGACACAGCACCATGAGCTCACTCCTTGCCCCCCCCACACACACACACATGCACCAATTTCATTAGTTAGGCCCAGCGTCCCCTCTAGCTCAGGGCCCAAGCTCTCCAAACACAGGCAAGTCTGGGGTCCCCGGTGGGATTCCAGCGTGTGAGACTGGGGTAGTCTGCTGAGAGATGTGGTGGAATGAGGCAGACAAAAGATATCACACAGCCCAGGATCAAGAGACTGCAGACACTGAGCCCAGTCTGGATGACATGGCAGATAAGACCCTACGCCTTCCACTCAATACCCTGTGGGTACTGGGGAGGTTGTGGCACTCAATACCCTGTGGGTACTGGGGAGGTTGTGGAGGGCTGTCAGTGTGTGCTCTGGGCTCTGAGGAGACAGGTGTGCAAGAGGACCAGCAGGGATCCTGAGAGCTAACCTTCGGCCCTGACCTCCTGAGGAGTCCGAGGCCTTGAGAGCCCTGGTCCCCACAGAGATGCTGTGTTTAGGTCACCCTGGCTGGCTTAGGGGAATAATCAATGGCTGTATGTCTACACCAGGGCTTCGTGGCCTCAGAACCCCACAACCAGACACTGAAAGATCTGTTACATCTCAGTGATGGTGAAGAGACTGGTCCTGGCACCGGAAGGCCAGTGAGTCAAAACTTTGTTGGAACAAAGGACATCGTGTCCTGCCTCAAGCCTTCAGCACCCCCAAATGTCTCAGTCAGAATGGTCCCTGACCTGGCAGCTGGTAACTTCTGTCCATCCTGTTCATGGTCATTTACTGCACCAGAGCGCCCACACACACACACACACACACACACACACACACACACACACACACACACACACACACACACAACTCTGGGTTCTGCTCCCCCAATTCCTGGCCTCACCCCCAGCTAACTTGCTCCACAGTCCTCATCCCGTCGATCCGGCCTCTGCTGCTCCAACTGCCACACTGCCACCACCACCCTCTGGAGGCGCAATGCTGAGGGAGAGCCTGTGTGCAATGCCTGCGGCCTCTACATGAAGCTCCACGGGGTGAGTGGCGGGGAGAGTGGCTTTGCCCTCTACCCAGAGCCGTGTGGTCGCCCCTCCACCCCAGCTAGACAAGATGGCCCTTGGCCCCTGGCTTGAACATGTTCTGGGAGCGTCACATGTGTGTTGACTGCCACACACCCACTCCTCTTAGAAGACCAAGCCGTGTGCACCCTGCCCACAGAAGTTCATGGACCTCCCCAGGGCTTTCCAAGAAGGCTCCCCAGGACTTTCCAACCTAGGATGAAGGCTAGACGCCCAAGTCTTTCCCTCTGCGCACTCCAGCCCCGCCCTTGGCTATCAGGCAGATGGGACGGGCATCTCCAGGGTGGGATGGCACAGGAAGCAGCCACCTACCCTTGCTGTCCCTGCCAGGTGCCACGGCCGCTAGCCATGAAAAAGGAGAGCATCCAGACCAGAAAACGGAAGCCGAAGAACCCCGCCAAGATCAAGGGCTCCTCAGGTGGGGAGGGAGCCGCTGGGCTGGGGTGGGGTTGGGGGGGTGACTCACTCCCAGGCCTCTGAGTCTCATTCTAACCCCACCCCTCAGGGGTGTCATTCGGCTTGTTAGGGGAAGGGCGTATGATATGAGCTGTCCAAACAGTGGTTAGTGGGACAGAAGTGGAGTAGATAAAGCCGTACCTGACCTTCTACCTTTCAGTGCTGTGTGACTTTTAAGAAGTCTCTGAACCTCTCTGGACAAGGATAGAAGAATTGGCCACATGGCCAGAAATACGGTCAGATCCGGCACCTTCCGTAAATGCCCTCCCACCCCTGTCTTCCCTTCCAGGATCCACAGCAAACACCGCAGCCTGTTCTCCTGCTCTCCCTAACACTGAAGGCTCAGCCACCACTTTGAAAGCCGAGCCCAGTCTGGCGTCTCCGGTGTTTCCTGGGCCCACTATCTCCTCCCAGGTAAGGGGGATGAGGCAGGGGAGTACAGGAGACCGGCCCTCACCCCTCCCTGGAGAACCTTGACTCTTCACCAACTCAGATCCCATCAGAGCCCTCAGGACCTCTCCCATCTTTCCCCAGAGTTGTATGTGGCACGGTCCTCAGGGGCCTTTCCACTCCTTCTAGGCTGAGGGGCACTTGGGGGTAAATCACCTATGGCATGCCTCCCGGCTCCAGAGAGGTGACGGACTCCCCCATACTCACCCACCCATCCCGTCTGCAGGCCTCCTCCAGCCCAGCGAATGAATCCCTGGCCCCCAATCATTTGGAGTTCAAGTTTGAACCTGAAGACTTTGCCTTCGCCTCCTCGCCCCTGAGCCCCCAGGCTGGCCTCAGTGGGGTCCTGCGTCAGGAGGCCTGGTGTGCCCTGGCCTTGGCCTAGGTGCTCAGGAAACGGTGGTTCCCAGGAACAGAACCTGCCAATCTGACTCCTAGAACAGGAGCAGAGACAAAGGGGTTCCAGGAACAGAGGTTAGCCTCTGAAGCCAACAGCCCCAGGGGCCCCTCACCACTGTGGAGGGGGGCAGCTTTTGCGCTGACAGCCTAGAAGAAGGCCGGTGGGTGAAGAAGACTTGGAGGATCATCTGGGATAGCAACGGACTCCCCAGACATCTCATGGGCCCCTCTGTAGCCGAGACGACTGGAGATACCCACCGATGACTCAAACGCCATCAACGGTCAACTTTTACAGTTTGTAGCAGCTGGCAAAGGTTCACAGCATCCCACAGTAAAATCTGATCCAAGCGAAACAAACAAGAGTCCCGGCCGGCAATAAGGAGGAGGGGGACCCGACACGAGGCCTCTGGGGGAATCTCACGGTCTTAACGTCCCATATTTGACTCTGCAGGGCTGAGTGCTTTTCTTGCCTACAAACGCAGGACTGTCAGAGACCGGTGAGCAGGCTGAGCACTGTAGCAAGACACCACTCCAAGGCAATTCATCCCTCTGGCCGTCATCACAGATTTCTGTATTTATCTGTAGCCTTGTTTCCAGAGAGGGCGGTCAAAGGCCTTGCTCTGGCAATCCGTATGCTAAGGCTTTTGCCGATGGGAAGGACGGGAAGGCCCATACTGAGACACTGTTGGGTGACATGTGGCCTCGTGACCTGGCTCAGCTGTCACCCCAGCAGCTGGTAACCCAGCTCTTTGCAGCTTACCAGGTCATGTAAGCAGGGCGTGACTCTGCCCAAGGGGTGCAGGTCAGTTCTAGGACCCTAGTACAGGGAGGTGACAGGAAGTGAAAGGAAGAGGGTGCTGTGTAGGCCACACCCCCACAGGTTACTTCCTGGCATTTCCAGGGTTCCACCCCGAGGTGAGGAAAACAAGATGTAGAAGAGTTAAGGGATCACCTAACCATGAAGACCGTCCCTATCCTGTCTCCTATGTGGACTTTTGGTCCTTCCACCTAGTTCATCTTGAGGCAGAGGCAGGGGGCCCCAGTGCCTGCTTTCCCCAGAAGGAAAGCAATGGGCAATAGCCTGTGGCCTCTGCAGCTATCACGGGGCCAAGGGCAGGGCACGCTCCTGTCACTGACTCCGAGTAGGCATACCTCACCATCCGTGCGTCTGTGGGAGGCAAAGCCAGCTGTCTGAATGACGGATACAGGGGGGCGGGGCGGGAGGGGGTGCGCTAGAGACACCCCCCCCCGCAGGCAGTACTGTGTGAATGCCTCCATGCACCCACGCTCCCCAAGTGTGCACGGGCGCAGACAAGACCACAGCCGCTGCGTCCGGGGGGGGGGGGGGGGCGGCCTGGGCCCAAGGTCTCAGCAGTGTTCTCGCTGCCGTGCTGCTTCTGGGAGTCCCTTTTGTCCAAGCCTCAGTTTCCCCTTCTGTGATGAGAGAGACGCCTGTGATCACATCTGTAACTCATGCACCCATCGAGTTACTGTGGTCCCCTTGGAGGCTCCCAAATTTGGAAATGAAGCCAGGCAGTCACCAACCCAGGCAGGCTCCTGGAGAGATCCACAGTGAGAAAGAAGCACTGGCTGGTGGCTTCCCCTTTGGGTAGAGAGAAAAGGAACTCAGGAGAGAGGGGGACCCGGCGTAAGTGATCCCTCCCACTTTTCACTTCCTTCTCTTCCTTCCTTCCTTTCTTCTTTTTTTTTTTTTTTCTTTGTTGGTTTGGTTGGTTTTGTTTTCGTTGTTATTGTTTTTTGAGACAGGCTCTCACTAGGTAGGTCTGGCTGCCCTGGAACTCCAGGCTGGCCTCTAATTCACAGAGGTTGGTCGGTCTGCCTCTGCCTTCTGGGTGCTGGGATTAAAGGTGTGCGCCACCACTGCCTGGCTCTCTCTCTCTCTCTCTCTCTCTTTGTTTTTAATTTATCGGTTTTATCTGTATGAGTGTTTTTGCCTGCGCGTGCACATGTGTGGTCACATGGGCGTTGGAAACTGAACCGGGATCCTCTGCAAGAGCCGCAAGTGCTCTTAACCACTGAGCCGTCCCTCCAGCCCCCTACTCCTGTTTCTTAACTAAGGAGATGGCTGAGGTGAAGAAGGCCGTGGGCTCCACCACTGGGCATGGGTCACTGCTGCTAAATTTAAGCTTTCTCCTCTTCGAGAGGAAGCCAGTGAACCAAGTCCTTACGGCTGCCAGGCACCACGCCGCTGCCCTTCCTCCGACCACCCACCCCCATCCTGCCCACTGGCCGTAAACCACCAGATGAACATCCACAGACCAGAGCAACTGCGGGCCTTATCTGAAGAGCAGGATGGAAAGGAAGGCCCCATTGCTCTCCAGTCTGCATCCCCTTCCGGCTACAGCACCCCAGACCATGAAGCAGGAGGGGCCACAGCATCCCCAAGTCTATCCTTTCCTGTCCAAAATATTTTCTGGCTCCCAGGATGTGTTCTGGGCAGCCCAGGGAAGGAAGGAGACCCAGGGAGGTAGGGAAGTGGAGCACACGGGACGTGCACACGGATGTGCACACGGGACATGTACACAGGACATGCACACGGGATATGCACACAGGACATGCACATGGGACATGCACACGGGACATGTACACGGGACGTGTACACAGACATGCACACGGGACGTGTACACAGTACATGTACATGGGACGTGCACACAGACATGCACACGGGACGTACACAGGACATGTACACGGGACGTGCACACAGGACATGTACACAGGACGTGCACATGGACATGCACACGGGACATCTACACGGGACATGCACACAGGGAGACCAGGGTCCTGTCAGTTGGCATTTCTCCCTCCAGCTGTGGCTCCACGCCTTGCTTCCATCCGCAGCACAGCACGCAGGCACCCCTCCTCCAAGTCAGCATGTTACACGCCCACTCTACCCCAGGGGTCTTGCACTGCAGCCGCTCACCTCATGTCAGCTCTGTGTGTGCAGGGTGGAACCTGGCCCCTAGATGCTTTGTGGCAGAGCATCAGCCACCAGGCCCCTGAGAGCCGTCCCACACCAGGCAGCTAACTGCTGGGGACACTGCTACAACGTTGAACTGGGACCTGAGCTTGCAGGGGCAAGGGCAAACAAAGGGTGAGAATTTCTTGGGCTGGAAAGGGTTGGCCTGACACAAAGCAGAGCAAACTCTCCCAGGCGCTCATCTGAAAGCCTAGGTGTCTCAGAAGAGAAAACCTGGGGGGAGGAGGGATGTGAAGGGCGGTAGCTTCCTAGCTGACCAAATAAGGGCATTTCTTAGACCCAACCACTTGCTGCTGTCACCGTCATTATGTGCGTCTCCCATCGAAAGGCCCAGAATGCGTGTCACTGGCCATCCACAAGGCCCTCGCTGCTGTCCTTTGTCACCACCCGGTGGACAGTTCTAGGGGCTCTGGTAGCATTCCCCCAAGGTATGCTGTGGGCAGTGCAGCCTGGGTGTGGAGAGGGTTGAGAGGCTGCATGAAGAAGGAAAAGACACCACGAAGACAGCACGGAACTCGGATCCACTCTCCTTTGAGCTCCACGGTCCTGGTTCCCTGTGTTTTGTCTGACACAGACCCACAGCCGGGGAGCGCCTGGCCTTCAGAGTCCCACTAGCGCCTCTCAGGATAGGCCTGGACAGTAGCAGCTGAGGTCAGGTTCCATCCAGCCTTCTGTGGGATCCAGCTAGGGTAGAGACACCAGCTAGCAAGGAGACTCAAATGTGCCCCAACTCCATCCAACCCCGCCCTTTTGTGTCTTGGAGTGTCACATCCCGCATTACCCTGTGTTAATGCCAGCTGGTCAACCCGATGGGACCCTATCTCCTCTTGAGAACCAGAGCCTCTCTGGGCCTGTCCCATGTGTGGGCCGTGCGACCCAGGGAACTAAGCCCCTACCCCTACCGTGCCCTCATCGCTCCCTCTCCACAGGATGAAGTGAGGCCAGAGAGACTCGGTTTTCTGTAGCCGCCAGGCTTTGGGCAGGGCAGCCCTGATGCCTTAATTCCCTACACAAACACTTGGGTAGGGGCTGACCCTGGCCCCAAAGGGGAGGGGGCGGCTGACTAAGCCCTCATGAGTAGCCCCCTCCCCTCTGGGCCCCTGCGTGCCGCCAAGATGTTGACATGGACGGCTCCAGCCGTCTTATTTATTATCTGATAAAGCGAGCTCGGCACCGCTGGTGGACAGCGTCTGGCCGCTCTGAGCTGACCAGCATGGGGGAGGAGGAAGGCGGGGCGGGCAGAGTCGGGGGCCCCAGCCTCACCCTAGGACAGGCCTCCACCCCGGCCTGTGGGACAGGGACACATCTCCTCCTCCCCCGTCTTTGGCCCTGTCTCCACTGCTCACAGTGCCATCCGGGAGGGACCTCCCTGCCTAGAGTGTCACACACACACCTGAGACCGTGCCCCCTTCTGCCAAGCTCTGCTGCCCCAGCTCCGCCCTTCCTCCCCATGTACCCGTCACCCAATTACTGTTGCTGCCAATCCCCCACACCCTGCGTTTGGGCTGGAGTTCAGACTTTCCATGATGCAGGTTCGGGCCCACTTCTATGCCTCCCAGCATTACTCCTCCAAGACCACCCCTCCCCCAAGGACACCCCCACACACACACACACCAGGGCTCCCTTTTGCTGCCAGCTGCATTCACTCTCAGGTACCGGAGACACTTGACAGCATCCAAATGCATCAGACCTCTAGACATTTGCTTCTTCGGTCCCTCCCCTTCTAATGCCGTTCCTGACTCTTGGGTGACTTGGGTTAGGGCATTTGGTGCCCACATACTGCCCCCTTCAGTATTTTGGGGAAGGATTAAGATGGAGTCCTAACTCCGTGCTTGGAGGTCAAGTGCCCCCAGGCAGCTCTAGAGGGGTCTTGTAGATAAATTATCATAATCACACATACACATCTATGTGAGCCTGGGCATTGCAATGTGTCACGGTTCCTCCTCTTGCTGTGAGCAAAGTCCCAGGAGACTATCTCCCACTAGCAGTGCTGCTCTGGGTTCTCCGACAGACAGATCTATCTCCTGCCTGCTGTCCCAGGGCCGCCCTTGGGCAGGGGAAGCATGGTAAGGATGCAAGAAGAGGGAATCCAATCGTTACTAGAGGGACTCTGTGTAACTGTGTGTAACTTACAAAGCAGAGTTCCTAGTAACATAAAGTTATGTTAAGTTTTCTTACCAAAAAGGATAGGTAAAATTTCAACCCATACGCAAACTACGACCACCACCTCTGTGCACAAAAATGCTAAACATATACTCATTGTGTGCACATTGTTACACATGCGGTGTTAAATGCACGTATGTACATGAACATGTGTGCACATGGTAGCCTGAGACTGATGTCAGGTGTCCTTCCTCCATCACTCTTCATGAGTTGTTGATTGACTGATTGATTGATATTGATTGAGAAACGTTCTCACTGTGTAGCCCTGGCTGGAACTCATTATGTAGACCAGATTAACCTCAAACTCATAGAGATCCTCTGCCTCCAAAGTGCTGGTGTTAAAGGTGTGTGCCACCACACATGGCTAGTCTCAAACCTTAATTTTTTTTTGGCACAAC